TGTCTTCCTTATACAGTTCAGCTAGTTCTAACTAAATGTAAAAACATTAAATAATCTTTTAAAAGTGGGGGAAAAAATAGTCTTGTCTTAATTGAAGATTACTTAAGGATTAATTCTAATTGTGTGTGAGGTTTGTGCAAAAAAATGAATGAAATTCTAAAAATGATTGAATTTGTTAAAGGGTATTAGTTACCTTTAAGAATTAACCATTAATATCAAAATCATATTGATATGAGGATAGAATGCCATTATGCCAAAATAACAAGTGTTTTCTGAAAATACTAATCTGCTCTTTAGTAAAAATCCTAAGGTGTTTATAAAAAACTTACTTTGTGGTCAGATTTGTTTACAAGATTTTTATTAAAATTAACTTCAACATTACTAATACACTTATGTAAGAATAAAATTTGCTATTCTCTTTGAAACAAAATTTTTGTATGATTTTAAGAGATAACGAAAGATTTTATTTACTTTAAAAGTAAACTACAAAAAAAAGTTTGTGTGGGGGGGACAGGAAGCTGGGTATGGGTTTGGGCATATTAAAAGGTGACTGACAAGGAATCACCAAGACATGCTACAAAACTTGTTGATTAAAGGTTGTCTACGGGAGCCCATTTAAAAGATAAGAGAGACATTTAATTCTTGGCGTGACATCAATTGCCACTGGGGAGCAAGTGTCAGAAGAAGGAGGGCCAGCATGGGTGGTCAGATTCAGTTGGTCCCCTGCTATGTGTCTTTTTACTCTTTAAAATCATTCTACAAAAAAGATACCTGCACACATATGTTTGTTGCAGCTCTATTCACAATAGCAAAAACATGGAACCAACCATGTTGCCCATCAAAGCTGAACTGAATTTTTAAAATGTAGTACATATATACAGTGGAGTATTATGCAGCCATAAAGGACAAACATATGGACTTTGCAGCAACCTGGATGAATTTAGAGCTGATCATACTCAGTGATCTATCACAGAAACAAAGAACAGAGTACCATATGCTCTCACTCAAAAGCGGACCATAAACAATTATAATACTATAAGAAAGGGACTGGCAGTAGTAGGAAACTGTCAGGGGAGGAGGGTTGGAATTGGCAGTTAAGGGAAACTGCTAGGGGAGGGAGGGGCATACCTCATCACCAAGGATACCTGCATAATCAACTTTTGTATACCTAACTTTGAAATGTACCCTACATCTTTATAATAAAATTTTTTAAATCCCCTATTGAAGATTAAGGTTCTTGCTTTTCAAAATCTTTGAGTTATCATTTTGGCAAAAAGAAAGATTATTTTACAATGAACTGTAATCCTGTTATGATATCATGCTTCTAAAATCTTTAACACTTGGAAATGGTTCCAACATAAAAATTTCAAGTTCTCAATTCAGTCCTTCTGATCTTTAAATTTTTTTTTTTTAGTATTATGTCTTCCTGAAATCCAAGTAGACACTTAACTCATTTGGTATGCTAAAGTCACACAGGAAGCATTGTCAAACATGAAAGTGTTTAACTTTCCTAAGGTTATATTTATGTGTCTTTGGCATGTGTTCCAAAATTATATAACATTCCTTCCTATAATTCTGATATGTCCAACCATGTGTTATCAATAGTAATGATTATTCTGTTGAAACTGTCTATATGGAATCAGTTCATGGAGTAAAAGCTGCAGGTATAATTAGAAATTAAGTTCACTTACAATTACCTTTGTGTCAGACCCCAGGGGAGGAGGGGAAGGCCAATCAACATAGGACTAATTGAGGAGACAAGAAGTCATCTGAAAGTCAAAAAGTGTCTTCAATCTCCAGGGACCCCATGTCTCCTACATCAACTTATGTGCCCATGAGGATTACTGATCCAACATAGGACAGAACAAGAGTTAATTGTAAAGTTGAATTAATAGAAACCAAATAATTTTATAGCTGTTTTATTTGAAGTATTGTTAAATTTTTTTTGTTATATTTTTCAGAGTCAAAAGAAAAACCTTTTCTCTTGGAGTTATTTGCAGAGTTTTTTACAAATGAGTAAAAAAAAAAAAAAATCAAAACTCAAGACCAGATAACTGCAGCTAACCCTTTAGAATACTTATTGTGTAGGTATATCAAGCTTCGGTCAAAAGTAAAAGTGTGCTCTTTCTCTGTGAGGCATAGTCCCAATGCTTCCCCAACTCCCAATAAACTCTTAAAACTATATTGGCCCACTTTGAAATTCTTTCTGCAGGGGGGCCAAAGAACCCAGAGTGTCACAATGCACCCAACCCCACCCATGACTACGAGGACTTATGACTACAAGGACTTCAAGAAATAGGTGGCATGTCTATGCTTCTGGAGCCAGCGCAAGGACGAGGTGCTGTTGGAACTATACTCATTGGGTTGCAGCACCCTTTAAGACTTCATTTCCATGGGGCATTTTGTAATTATATACAAATGTTGCTTTTGGCCCAGACCTTAGTGGGTCAAGTGTTGGTGATCCTTGTCTTTGTACAAGCATTGAAGAGTCTTATAATCTATTTCATCAATATTACAGATCCTGCTGGAAGCATTTTTCATACAAAGATAAAACCATCCCTATTGATTTGATTTTCAGTACTTTCTTTGGTTTCTAATTTGGGCTGAGATTTATGACAGCTGATGACAAGATCAAGTTCTGGTTGGAGCTGAATTTAATTGTAGACATGTTTACCATTCCACAAGCCTTTGTTTCTTATTATTTGAAGAGTCACTGGCTGGGTTTGGGATTCCTAAGAGCACTGTGGCTGCTAGAATTCCCTCAAATCTTGCTAATTCCATGAGCCTTCAAGACCAGTAACTCAGTGAAGTTTTCCAAACTGTTATCAATAGCTCTCAGTACCTGATTTAAAGCTGCAGGATTCATTCACCTGTTGAAAAATTCTGATGATTCCTGACTCAAAGGTAGAAATTCACACACTATATCATATTTTGAGTCCATTTATGGTCATAGCAACAACATCCACCATTGTCTTTGGAGATGTTGGAGCAAAGACATCCTTAGGACAGACCTTCACCCTGAGGAGTTTAATATGATTGTGAACAATATCCCTAAGATGATGGAACTGTTTGCTAAGAGGAAATACACCAGTTCCTATGAAGTGGTCAAAGGGAAGTCCCTTGTAGTCTGTGGAAACATCACTGTGGACAGTGTAACTGCTTTCTTGAGGAATTTTCTCTGCCACAAGTCAGGGAAAATCAACACTGAGACTGTTTTCCTGGGAGAGGTCCATCCTTCTTTGGAATTGAAAACCACATTTAAACGCTACTTAGCTTATACAACTTTTGTTTCTGGATCATCAACGAAGTGAAAGGATCTCAGGTGAGTTGTGGTAGGATACGCAGAAGCATGGCAGTTATAGCCAACTCTTGGTGTAGTGATTTGCATGCTGAAGTGTCCTCCAATGTTGAGGGTGCTCTCTATCAAGAACTATTACCCTAAGCCTAAAGTCATCAGATTCTTCAGTCCCATTACAAGGTTTATCTGCCAAAGATTCCCAGCTGGAATTAGAACTGGAGACAACATCATCTGCTTTGCTGAATTAAAGCTTGGATTTATCACCCAAGGCTGTCTGGCTAGTGCACCATCTCTATTTGCTGATCTCCTAAATGGCCCTGGCAAAAACATTTCCTGAGTGGCATGAAGAACAAAATTCTTACTCAACATCTCTCTGATGACTTAGTTGGAATGTGTTTTCCTGAAGTTGCCTAGCTGTGCTTTGTGAAGATGCACCTGATGCTGACAGCCATCGAACTGAAGTCCCTGTTTAACGATGGTTACAGTGGTCTGATACTGAATCTACCTGCACAAGTTGGGAAGCTAAGAACACACAGGGTTCTCTATTGCCGAAACTCTAAAGGAAGTCAGAAGAGCCTTTTTAAATTGTTCTGCCATGGTGATGTATGTTCCTGAGCTAACTGCAAAATGTGACTGCAGAGACATGAGCCCGCGGCAAATCCCAGTGTCATCGGCAGACAATAAAAAGCTGTAGGAAGGAATATTCCTCTGATGCAGTAATACAGAATTATTTTCCAGCAACCTTGCCTGGTGTCTCAACCTTTGCCACCAGCTCTTTAGTACATTAAAATCTCCATTAACCAAAATGCAAGATCAGAGGGCCAATCCAAAAGTTCTGTCATTCCAAACTTTAATGAAAATAACTGCAATATGTTAGCAACAGGAAGATCTTTAATGACTGAAAATTGTGATTATCTAAGGATAAACAGTATATTATCAATAGAACGTTAACCATTATGTTCAAGTATTACATAATATAATGAATACTCTAGATTTTTTTTGTAATAATTGGAGATCAGATATTTAAAGCACTTTGCTGGTACAGCCATCATGGAAGACAGTATACAGTTTCCTCAAAAAATTAAAAATAGAACCACTGTATGATCTGGCAATTCCACTTCAGAGTATTTAGCGAAAGGAAATGAAATCAATATGGTGAGGACATTTCTGCACTCCTGTGTTTATCGCAGTACTATTCACAATAGCTAAGATATGGAAACAAGTGTGGAAAGGTGAGTGGATAAAGAAAGTGTGATACTCACACACACACATACACACAATGGAATATTATTCACTCTTCAAAGAAAATCTTGCCATTTGCAACAACATAGGTGACCCTGAAGGACATTATGCTAAGTAAGCCAGACAAAGAAGAGAAATTCCATATGATCTCGGTTATACACGGAACCTAAAAGAATCAAAGACACATAGTGGAATGGTGGTTGTCAGAGAGTAGGGGTGGGGGAACTAGAGAAACTGGTCAAAGGGTACAAAAAACAGAGCACTTTGCATGATTCCTGGCTGCTAGTAAGTACTCATTAAATGTTTCTTATCATTGCCAATTACCAATTCTTGTATCCAGGGAGTATATAAAACTGGGCAAAATATGTAATAAATGCAGAGACTTTCAAAGACGTGGATTTTGAAATAAATCATTTACTTGAAAAAAAAGTTTAAAAAGATCAGTAAATTTTAATCTTACCTGAGCCCCTGCCAAAATGGCCTTCTCATAGATCGCAATAATATTTTCAATAGGACTTGTGATTGGTTCAATACGTGCAAGACATATCCAATATTTAACAAGTTTTGTAGCATCTGGAATATTTTTAATCAAGTCGTTCAGTGTGGCCAGTATTTCTTCTTTTGGGCATCCCTAAAACAGTAAAAAATAATGTGTGTGATTTTTTTTAGCTTACAAATATGAACAATTAATAACTATAATCAAAATCAGTGACAAAGATTAAAAAGTTGATAGAAAACTATTCATAAAAACATTCCCTATTTTCATCCCCTTTTCTCCAACCTTCCTTTAAATGTCTAAAAAAAAGTTTATCTGCCTCGAACACATGGCAGCAAAAACTAAAACATTAGTTGGAATACTTATCAGTAAAAATGACTAACACTTTACTTGGTCTTGATGTTTATCTTCTCCGTTTGTTAATACTTTCTACCAAATATTTATAAGAATAGTTGTAGGGATTTTTTTCCTCTTAAGTCTTTGTCAGGTTTATTAAGGCTATTAAGGTTAAAATGAATCTAATGGTTTATATAAGAGTTATATATAGTTAAATAGTAAGGCAGAAAATTCCATGGTATCAAAAGAAAAAAAAAATCAACAGAAATAAGAATAAAATTAGAGTTTTCCTGATAGTAACTTTCACTGGTCCTCAGAATCAGATGCTCATGAAGAGTAGAGTAAGGTGTGAATACCTTTCATTCAGTCTTGCTATGGATTTTAGACACTAGTGGGTGACCAAAACAAGATTTCAGGGTAGTCAGGAAACGAAGAAAATATTCTGGAGATGATTATACGCCATAGGATTTTGGACCAAATAGCAAAATTCTACAATAAATTTAAGACATGATAAAAATGAGATTTGTTTGAGACTATTTTAGGTAACTTGAATTTAATCTGTGATAATAATGACTCACACAGCAATAATAACTTGTGTTGCTAGTTTTTTGATAAAATGTGTAATATGTGGAAAAAATGATTTGTAAATATACTGAACAACTGTAAGAAACAAAGTATTAGATGTGAAATACCATCCCAGCATATGCTATATTAAGATCATAGAGGAGTACAGTATTAATAACTCAGGTTAAAAAAAAAAAAATCTAATTATCCCTTTGACTCAAGTTGAGCATCACTAATTTGAAAATCTAAAATCCCAGCCAGGATGCAGTGGTTCACGCCTGTAATCCAGCACTTTGGAAGGCTGAGCGGGGAGGACTCCTGAGGCCAGTTCAAAGCTGCATTAAGCTATATATTCTGGCCTGGGTGAAAGAGCAAGACCCTGGCTCAAAATAAACATAAAAAAAATAATAAATTAAAAAAAGAAAATTCAAAATCTAATTTTGGAATGCTCCAAAACCAAAACTTTTTGAGTGACATCATGACAATAAAGATGACCCTCATTAACACTGCAGAAAAAGTGCCTATATATGACAAAGCAAAAATAGGCGATGGGCTTATTGAGGGACTAGAGTAGCATATATTCATCACAAAATGGGAAATAATGTCAGTTTACAAAATTGAAGAGATTCCTAGAGACAAAAACTGTTGTTAATGAGCCAGATAATTCTGGAGGAAACATTTTAAAAAGCCATTCAACAAAATGCCTCCTCATCCACTTCCTAGTGCCTCTACTGCTTCTTCTCACCTAAAAATGCAGTACAAATATGTTAGCCTTTAAATAAAAATACACACTGAAAGCCTGCTGTTGTTGTCTAATAAGTGATGCAGGCAGGCGTTCTAGTGCTACTTTACTGCTTAGTTACCCTGAACACATTGTTTTTCACTGTATTAATGGCATGTCTTTTTTTTTTTTTTTTTTACTGTTAAGTATTTATGTGTGAATAAGTATTAAGAAAATGATTGCTTATTGGTAACATATAAATTCAGATTCAGGAATGATGGTGATGCTAAACAACTAGATTGTCCACATAGCTGGCTGACTCAGAGACATCTTTGCTTTCTAATGTTTCAAGGTATTCAATCTTTGATTCAAATGCACAAAATTATTAAAAATATTATATAAAATTACTTTTAGATTATGTATATAAACTATATATAAAACATAAATGAATTTCATTTTTAGACTTGGGTCTCATCCCCAAGATATTTCATTATATATATGCAAATATTTCAAAGTTCAAAAAATTCCCAAATCACTTCTGGTCTCAAGCATTTTAGATAAAGGATATTCAATCTGTATATTTATATGAACTTAATGCAAAATGCAGTAAATTAAAAGTTAACAATCTCAAAATTAATGAAGCAGTATATCTCAAAATTCAGTAATTGTGAAAACAATCTCATAACTAATGTTAAATAGACATAATATCACTGACGTCACTTGGCCAAAAAGACTGACAACACAATTTAATATGATAATGTTTATGAAGGTAATTTGGAAACTATAAAATGCTATACAATTATAAAATAAAGACTCTACCTCGTTGATCAGCTTCAGGCATTCAGAAATTGTGTTGTGTACTTTTTCCGTAAATAATCTTTGTTCATCTTCTTCTGCCATGGTAGTCCAAAAGGATCCAACTGGTTTTTCATTTTGTACTTCAGGCTCACGCTGTGTAACTATCGGATCAGGAGGTCTTTTCAACACTCTTCCTTTGCCAGTTTTCCACTCAATCAGACGAGTTCTACAATTAGAAGCAGTATATAAACATTACTTTCATATTGTTGATAAAACTCTGTCAAATAGAAGAAAAATTACAAAATATTTCAGATCTTTAAGTAGTTCTACCCTAGTGGCATATACATAGTTCACAAGTCTGAAGAAAAACAAGTATTAAACATATCAAGGTCAATTATATGCTCAAAGACCCCATGAATACATTTTTAAATGGAGAGATTATAAAATATTTCCTAATTTATTAAGCATTTAACATAGATTATAAAAAGCACCCTAATAAAACACACTCAGATGCAAAAACTTTTCGGTCACATTGTTCCACAATATAAATGTGCCTGCATTATGACAGAAAGGAAATGACAGAAGAAAATTCTAATATATTCAAGGGTATTACAAGTCAAATACACAAACAGTAATCTATTGAAAATTAAGGGAAAAAAAATGAAGGAAACAACAACTACTTACTTTCTCTCTTCTGCAGTTTCTTTGGGCCAAGTTGGTCTACTATCAACAGTTGCTTTTACCATAGTATGTCTTTGCTGGTCAATGGGTTTGGACTTTTCTATCAGTCTGGTATTAGAAGATGAAGAAGGCCTGGCTACAATTTCAGATGCTATGCTTTTTGATAGTGCTTTATTTCTTTTTAAGTCCTGAGAAGAACTGGCTTTGACGCTAGATAAAACTGGTTTTGACTGTAAAAATTCTTTTTCACAAAACCCTTTCTGGAACGTAATATTGGCAGAGGTTCTACTGATGCCTTGTTTCACGGACTTCCGGGTATTATTCTGACTTCTAATAGGAGGTCGCACAAGTTGTGTGTTCTGAGATGTAGTGTTCACAAATTTAGTAGTAGCTGTCATATTTGAGGCTCTGTCACTTTTCATTCTTTTATCGCTGGTATCTGCAGGCAGAAGCTTGGTGGCTTTAGGAATAGTAGCTGAAAGTTTCTTTGTTGCTGCAGAACTCTCATCTTTGCCTTGTAGTGGTTTTCTAAACGAATTAATCTTAGACTGAACAATTTGGCCACGGTAAGATCCAAGTACAGGTTTCTTGGGCACAATAGCATCTTGCTTTGGTTTTTCTGCAGTCATCTGTGTCTTTGTACTATTTTTTTTAAGGTGAAATGCCTTGCTTAATGTCATATGTTGACTTTGAGGATCATCTTCAGTTGGCAGAGTTTGATTATTATCCTTAGATTTATATGTATCAATTCCTACAGCTGAATTGGTTAGTTCATTAGAAGGTTTTAAAGGAATACAGTTTTTTTCCAGCATTGTATTATTTTTGATTCCTGCAGGTCTATGGACATTTTCTTTATCAGCCTAAAAGAGTTATTTAAGACAAATCAGTGCTTCAGAACTAATTTCTTTCAGAATTTAGGAGAGGGAAAGGGGAAAAGAGGGCAGCTTATGAGTGCTATGTTCGTATCTTACCATTTTTGTTTTAAGTTTTAGAACTTCTGTCCCTTCTTGAACCTGGTCCTCAGGTGTCTCCACTCTTTGGCCTTTACTACTTAAAAAATTAAAATAATAAAATGGTCAATAAATTAATCCTGTACCAAGGAGGTTTCCTTTTTTAAGAGGAAAAATAGTGGGATAGTAACAATTAACTGATTTCATAATTTTACATTTTAAATTGAAGCAAGGTTTGAGTTGCAATCTGTCCTAAGAAAAATTTTTAATAATTTTATAGCATAAACAAATTTAAAGATATTTGCTTTCTTTTTTTGAATTGGAGTCTCACTCTGTCGCCCAGACTGGAGTGCAGTGGCATGCCCCTGGCCACTGCAGCCTCGACCTGCTGGGCTCCAGCGATCCTTCTGTCTTAGCCTTCTAAGTATCTGGAACTACAGGCATGTGCTACCACGCCTGGCTAATTTTTGATTTATTGTAAAGACGAGGTCTCACCATGTTGCCTGGGTAGGTCTCGGACATGCAGGCTCAGGCAATCTACTCACCTCGGCCTCTCAAAGTGCTGGGATTACAGGCTGAGCCACTAAGCTCAGCCTAAAAATATTTTCATAAAAGCCTTAACACTTTATCGCCATAGAATGTATAAATCTTATTACAAACATTCTTCTCTACTTGTTCAAGACTTTTAGTAAGAAATACCTTCTAGGGTTAGTTTTTAAGTACTTAGTTGCATATGTATTATGCTGAAAAATTTTTTTAAAAAGAGCCCTCTCCAAAGAAATCCAAAATTCACCACATGCTATTCACAGCTTAATTTATATTAAGATATATTAAAAATATGAACCTTGGTTTCTCGGTTTTATTGTATATAGGCTATTTATTCAAAGCAAACACTTCCTCAATAATTTAACCTAGACTCATTTTTACAGCTATAATCTGTCAAATACAAGCCATGTATTAGCATCACTCTTAGCAGATGATTATGACAATTTTGCATAGTACAAACAATGGAAAAAATACTGTCAATTAGATATGCCACTGATTCTAAGGCAGACCCCAAGTTCAGAGATGTTCAAATATTTTTAAAATGTGCACTTTACAATTGACAAAATTTGGTATCTTTATAGTAAATAATGTTGGTTACATTGTCTTTCACATCTGATTGTTCAGTCAGTTTAGAGAAAGGGCAGAACTTTGACACCATTTATACTACACATTTTGATCATGGTGAAAGAGGATCAAAATGTGCCACTGAACAGGATATATTGGTATCTAGCTGACAATCCCCCCCCCGCCAAAAAAAAAAAAACAAAAAAACAGAATGACAAGGAGAACTCATCTTATTTGCCTGTCCAATGTAGAGACTTATATGAAAATATATAATCCTATTCTGTCTTATTATAAAACTGTCCATAGAAGGGTTCATCTGAACAAATTAGTTTTAGGATACCCATACGTAGAGATTGTAAAATACAACTGTCTGTTTCTGGAAAGCTGTAACTCAGACTGGATGCCTTATTTAATAATTTGTTGCTCAAGTAATAATATTTAAATTGACATTTGTTTTCTGAAAAGAGTAAATGTAGTACTTAAGTCATAAGAGTTTCAGGATATTCTTTTCTTCCCATTATGTTTAAGAGTATTACAAACCCCTGACCCTGTTAGATTCCTGAGTTAAATAAGCAGGTGAGAGTCACTGTCCTACTTGAATAAATACTATCCAAGATTACTAGTAATCTCATTCCATCCTAAGCTTTAAAATAAATACCATCTATACACTGACAATTCTAAAGTGTATGTCTGCAGTCCTGACCTCTTCCCTGAACTTCAGACGTACAACTATTTGACATCTCTGCTTGGAGGTTTGCTTGGCACCTCAAAGTTAACACAGTCAAAACAGAACTCCTGATTCCCCAACTCTTCCTTCAGTCTTGCCATCTCAATATATGGTATTACCATCCTCTCAGTTATTCAAACCAAAAACCTAGGATCACCTTTTCGTCTTAAAAAAAAATAAGAGATTTAATTGACAGATAAAATGTGTATTCTAAGCTAAGGCAATTTATTAAAGTTAAAAATTATTTTTAAAACTTTATTTGGAAAAAATGCTAAACTTATACAAAATTGCAAAAATATAAATAGGTCTAAGACTGTTTACCCTTTATCCAGACCTGCCTATTGATAACATTTTATCCCATATGCATTAATATTTCTGCTCTCTGAATATGTATGGGGTATATACAATTTTTACTTGAGCCACTTGAAGGTAAATTATATACATTGTGGCCCTTTATCCCTCAATGTTTCCTAAAAAGTGGAACATTCTCTTACATAACCATAGTATAGTTATCAAATTCATAAACTGATTTGATGTCCTTTACTGTTTCCTTCTTCCAGTACACGCTACAGTACAGGGTCATGTATTATATTTAGTTGTCATGTCTCTTAGCCTTCTTTACTCTGGAACATTCAGGATCATCTTTATTCTTTCTTTTACATCCCGTACCTAATCCATCACCAAGTCCTCTCAGCTCTATCTTCTAAAAATTAACAGAATCTGACCGCTCTCTCCCATAAGGAAGGGTATCAAATATTCATAAAGGCAAAATATATCAATAAAGTACCTAACATAGAGAAGTGCAGATGAAAGCTAGGCTTTTTTTTTTTTAAATCATGAGGATGGCAGTGATGTTGGAAGAAAATTAAGGAAACTAGGAGAGCAATATATTCCAAGAACCAATTCTTTGTATGGAATGCCAGAGAGATCATTAAAAGATACTACCACTTATGCTATATACCAGGCATAATACAATACATTCAATATCTCCTTTAATCCTCAAGAAACTTGTGTTATTATTCTACTTTAATATTATAAGCAAACAGACTCAAAGAGGTCAAATAACTTGCCTTAGGTTACACAGCTGTAGTTGCAGACTTAACAGATTCCAGTCAGGTCCTTATTCTTAAAGGCAAAGAGCCTGGAAGGATGTTATTAGTGATTATCTCTAGAGTGTAAGAGAGGACCTTTTTACTTTCTGCTTCATCTACTTTCATGGGTTTTTGTTTCTGCTACAACTATGTACTACTATTACAAAAGATATTTCTATGGAGGATTAAGACTACAACAGATAATCTCAAATCTCCAAGAATTTGGGAGGGCCACCACCCTGCAGAACTCCCCCATACAGTAAATAAAAAGCCTTCCTAAATTACAAAAAGACTGACATTTGTATGATGTAAAGCATAAGTCAATCATCTATATACACACTTTGCTTTAAAATTATTTTTTCTTAGATTGTGAATTTACATAGAAAATGATCTAATGCTGTATCATCCAAAAAGGTAGCCACTAGATATATGTGCCTACTGAGTACTTGAAAAGTGGACAGTCCAAATTGAGATGTGCTGAAATTGTAAAACATACACCAGATTTTGAAGACATTATACCAAAAAAATGCAAATAATATCTCAGTACTTTTACTATTAAAATTTGAAATAATAATACTCTGAATACATTAGTTTAAATAAAATGTTATTAAATTTCATTTCATCTTTTAAAAAAATATTCTAAATGTGGTTACTAGAAAATTTAAAATTACAGATGTGGCTCACATTTTTACTGGACAGTTGACATAATTCTACAGAAATAAACTTGACCTCACCTGGATACTATCTGATTTTCCTTTTTGTATGCAAAAAATGTTTTGCTTCTTAACATATGTTCCTTGAGTTTTTTTCTTCTTTGCTCTAATAACAAAAGGAAATTGCTACAAGTCAACATTAGTTAAACATCCAGTAAGCATCAAATAAATATGACTGACTAAATGAAGACTTTACTTCGAAAACTGTTCCACTTGAGGTCACATCTGCTACATAACAAAATTTCCCAATGCAATATTGCCTTTGAGAAATAAGTCTACTAACGAGATTGTTACCATAAAAGATTCCCACAACCACTGTGCACAAGAAAATCCGGAGAACATCATTTTCAACAGATGGTTACCGAAAGGCAAGCTTGGACTAACAATACTATTATTTTTGAAGACCTCCCCCTCCCTTCCATCTAACCCTAGATTTCCATAAAGTCGAAGGTGAAGGTGTAAACTTGGAGACTACCAGATCAGCTAACCCCATCCCTGCGGGAACTCGCTCGCGATCCACAAGGTGGGAGGGCCCGGCGCAGGCGCAGTAGGTCCGGACGCCCGCGCAGTCCCCGCCCTCCGCGGACACAGGGCCCCGGCCCCCTCGTCGGGTCCGAACCCGGGCCCAGCCGCTCCCCCCCGTCCCCTTCCCCACCTCCCCAGCTAAA